TAAGGACAAACACTCACGACACTGCAGATGAAGAAACTGGAGCTTGTGACAGGCTAGGTAAGGGTGCAGGCACCAGACTTACCACACTCAGCCAAAAGCTGCATCCAGTTCTCACGAAATTCATAGCTGTTATGATGAACAAGCTTGCCATTTTGATCCTACTCTCATTTTCTAAAGCCCTCCCTTCTCTGCCTGTCTCCGTTGGTCTGTCAGTCTGTCGGCCTGTCTCTGTCTCTGTCTCTGTCTCTGTCTCTGTCTCTGTCTCTCTCTCTCTCTCTCTCTCTCTCTCTCTCTCTCACACACACACCCCAAGTTCCAGCAGAAACCAGAAACCCATCAGTGTCCCTGACCTACACCAATCAAGAAACTGATAATCAAGCACTATCCCCATGGCAACATAGCACACTCCTGGGACTGCTTGCCCAGCTCTTCCCAAGGAAAGTTTGGTTCAGCACTGCCCTCCCCCATTACACACAGCAGGGCAGCCTGGTAAGTACAAGGCAAGTGAGCACGGATTTCCTACCCTGTTATTAAGAACCCACTTGAGATTACCTGTAATTACAATCTGTCCTCCCATGAGGAACCTCAGAACTCCCCTCTGGTTTTAACATAGACACAAACAACTCTTCTAAGACTGAAGACCCAGCACACTGCAGCTATTTTGGCTGAGCCAGAATACAGGAGGCCACCAGCAAGATCAGCTCCGCCCCACCCCAGCACGTAGAAATTATCTACTTCCCACAAACATTCCAAAGTACTGATTTTACAAAACATGAGCTGTAATACACATGCATTTAAAGTACAGCCTTGGAACAAAAAAGCAAGTAGTTTCTAGGCTAAATTTGGGCTTTGGTAAGTAATGGAATAATAACATGTTGCGTGTATGCTTGTGCATTGCATGTCTAATAGAACAGAGAATAAAAAATTCCTATTCAGGATCCACTCCTGAGCTAACCCAGTGTTCTAACTGGAATCTCGAGGCCAGCTTCTGTCCTGCCAATGACAGCACTTTGCAGTATGGAAACTTACAGTAATCTTTATCTGTAAATCAGCGCCCTTCTTGGCTCAGGGGCCCACCCACCTCACACCATCTGGCTTTTCTCCACTCCTCTCTCTATCAACCACAGTCATCCTTCAGTATTTGAAAGACATTGGTTCCTGGACTCTCCCTCAGACAGCAAAATCTATGGATGCTCTAATTAATTATACGAGGCAGTACGGTACCTGCATGTAACTTACCCACACTCTTCCTATATGATAGTACTTAATTTATTCAATATTCAGGTTGTAGGACTCCATACTTCGATTCATCTACAGATTACTTACAATGCCTAACACAGTGTTAATGTTGCGTTAAAAATTGTTTTATTGTACTATTTAGGGAATGAGAAAGAAACAAATGTCTGTACATTTCAATTCGACATAGTTTTTAAAGAATGTTTTTAGGGCCGGCCAAATAGCTCAGTAGATTAAAGCGCCTGTAAGCAGGCGCAGGGGCCAGGGGTTTGATCCCCAGGTCTGCCATGCCAGCCCTACCCCCGGGGTGCACTGAGATGGTAATTGAGACTGGGCATGGTGGTGCACTTGTAATCTCAGCTCTTGGGAAGCTGTAAATAGGTGGATCTTATGAGTCTGATCTAGTAATGAGACCCTTGAACTCCCTGTAGACCCTTCCCTAAAAATACAAAAAAAAAAAAAAAAAAAGAAAAAAAGATAGAAAGAATGTTTTTGACCTGTAGTTGGTAGAATTCTGAGGCATGCAGCTCATAGATAATGAGGGCCCACTGTGAATACTACAAATCTAAATAAAACCACTCTTCACAGCTGACTCAATTCTACTTTGTGGGGTCAAGACAGAGCTATCATGTTACTAACAGGCTGGCCCACTTCACCTACCGGAGACCTACGGATGTGCAGGCCTTGCATTGTGGATGATCACTGGACTAAAGACACAGCAAACACTTGGCCATTATTGCTTATGTTCTGATTTGTGTTACGCACAGCCATGCAATGATATTTCCAGAGAACTGCTCAGCGTGGTGCTGCCAGGTCAGCTCCTCTATCACTTGTAGTGCCTGGCTATGGGTAGATGGTAGAAAGGAAAGGAATGAAAATCCTTTTATGCCAGAGCCATAACCCTGCAGAGAATGGAAAATCATACTACATAATCAGAAAACAGGATTGCAAGAGGAAGACTAGGGCCCTCGAAGTTCCTGTGGAGTTCTATCACCTTACCCTTGGAAACTGGTAAACCTACAGTGTCATGATGGTAATGTTCTGCATGGCCACAGCATCAGCCACTGCTCTAGGTGCCTGAAGTGAGCTAATAAGCAAGGCCTTTCTTGCTGGCTAAGGATAGGGTGGCTGGGCCACAGCAGTTCTGCACCTAAGGCCAGCCGCAGGGCACGACCGGCCACCTCCAGCAGCCCTGTTCTCTGCAAAGCTGATGTTGCACTGTGTGCTGTTACACAGGGACAGCAAGTATGGCCAGAGTCCTGGGGTTCTCTGCTTTCTCTTTGCACTTCCTTTTTATAAGTATGTATGTGTGTGCACATGCAGGCACACACATGCCTTCTTGACAGTTACCTTCCGCAATCAGTCTTTCTGTACCCTGGAGAGATCCAAGGCAAACTTCCAAACTCTGATTAAAATGCCTCTCCCCACTGCGGACTCACAGAAGCACTCAATCATTTGTGGATTAAAACAAAAACAGTTTGGAGGCAATCAAGTCCCAAATAAACAAAGAGCTCCGATTAGAAAGCATCCTCCTCTAAGCCTGAGCAGTTGCTCAAAGAACAAAAAGGGAGGTCAAAGAATCCCAGCCTAAGGCTCTGAATTCATCTTAGAAATGTTTGGAACTTGCATCTGGATGAGAACATAAGTTGCTATTAAATTGTAGCCCACGTTCAATTCTATACCTCCATAAACAAATGCAACTTCCACTGAGGTGAGTCATAGGTGTTTCTACCTCATGAGGCATATTTATGACAACTACATTGAAATAGAGACCCCACCTAGAGCATCGCCAGGCCCAGCCCACAGCAGTGCCCTTGTACCTCTCTGTCTGGGAGCTACAAGTTCACAGAACATCCCAGTATAGCTGAGGCACATTTCCCAGGAGCAATCACAGCCTCACAGGATTACTGCACACAGAATTTCATACTACAGGCTGGTGTGGGCAGCACCACCTCCCTCTGCGCTGTCCTCTACCTCTCTCCCATCAACCCACAGGGCTGCTAGGGGCAAGTTTTCATTGAGTGAATCTAATCTTACGTCTCCCAGGCAGATGTCTTTGACAATTATCAGTAAAATACACATTTCTTCTGCCCCCTCAGAAGCAGTGCAAGATGAAGCCTGACTTGGCCCAGGAGGACTTCCTGTGTGGCTGAAATGTTCTACATTTGTGCCAGCTGTCACATGAGAACTGCTAGATTCAGCTACTTTCATTGAGGAACTGTTACTGATTTTGCTTTCACTGATAAACTTAAAAGTGTCACATGTGGCTGGCAGCTTGAACCACCCTACTGGTTACCCTGCTGACCCTGCCCTCTCCCACTAACCATCCCACCAGCCACATCACTCCCTTTCGAGTTTGCAAGACAGCAAGTCCTATCTGCCCCGACCCTAGCCTGTGTAGGACACACACTCCATTGCCATTACCTGTTACCATCTGCACTTCAGATCTCGGCATATCAGTCTGTCCCCAAATCTGGCTGCCTGTTCTCCTTCTAGAACCCCACCACTTGATTCTTTTTCTTGGGCTACTCACCATATGAAACTGTGACATGATGGCTTTCCCTTAGGATGTCTGCTCTCCCCTAGCCCACCAACTCCACAGGCTCATACTCTCATTAGTCCTGGGACAGGGCCAGAGCACATGGGAGTGTGTCAGTCACTGAACGCCTATGGATCATAGGCACTGGGGTCAAGTCAGGCTCTTGAGAAATGCATGAAAATCAAACTGTCAAAAAAACTGTCCTTTCTTGCCTTGAGTTCCATTTCTAGCAAAACACACACACACACACACACACACACACACACACACACCCCTGACTTTATATACTGGGGAGCAACTGTGAGGTGCTACAGTTGAGGTGTGTCCTGCCAAGTTCATGTGGGAGGGATCAGGATGCCATGAGTTACTAAGGTTGGGCTTCTGGGAACCCTGAGCCAATATCACTTTGCTCTTTATAAACATCCCATGCTGTGGCAGGATCGGAGAACTGGCACATGTTAGTTAGGACACAACATACCTGTGTTCCTCCCAAATCCATATGGCAAAGCCCAGCCTGAGCAGAGCCTTTAGCCAAGGCCCTTGGGGGTGCCTAGGTTTAGATGAGGCCATGGCATTCATGTCCTTATAGAAGAATCAGAAAAGCTTTTCCTCTGTTCACTGTATGAGGGCCATAGGAAAAGGCAGCCCTGCCTTCTGCAAGATAGGAAGAGGGCCTCCCCATGCTCCCTCTTGCCCTTGAACTCCCAGCTTCTGACAAAGAAACACTGACTGGTGACCTTTGATGCTCAAGACATTCTCCTTGTATGTGGAGACAGAATGTGAGTGTCACATCCCCGAGCAGCTGCTCTGTACCTGTTTTGCCCCAGATTACCTTGTTCTACCAGCTCTACAGCTGGTAGGAGACCCATGATGCACACAGAGCACCACAGCACATTGTCCAGAAAGGCCGAGATAGCAAGGGCAGGACCCATCCTGGTGGCAGCATGTGCACACTTGCCCAAGATCCTTCCACCTTGCATGGAGCATGAAGTACCATGGAGCATGAAGGACCAGTGCATGAAGAACAGGTGCTGCTCCCCAGGGCTTCCACGAGTCCCAGCACCCCATGATTAAGCAGCCACATCCAGGGAGCATTTCACATGCCCACAGACAGGGAACAGCACTCGCCAGGTCCAATCCCCACTCTACCCCCTTAGGAAGAGCAGATAAATGGGCTACCTGCTGTTCTAGAAACTTGACAAGACCACTGTCCTTCCCGGCTTACCTTTCAGAGTGGGAATAGGTCCTTCTTGTCCATCAATATGCCCCAAGGTGTCACTGGGATCTGGCACTTCCACTTCACCTGGAAAAAAGAACACAACATACATGGTAAACAAGCTCTCTGCTTCAAGGAGCTTTGACTTGCTTCTCAGGCAGTTGTAGGCAAGGCAGTCTGGTGACCCCAGAGGCAGTAGTTACTCCAGGTGACACACAGTAAAGTAGGTTTTAAGTCAGCCTCACCTAGAACTGCCAGGCACTGCCCTGCAGCACAGACAGGAAGTTTATTCCTGAGCAAGGCCAAGGGTCCTGGGCAGGAGAAACTGGAAATGAGAGGAGGGAAGAAATGCAAGCACTGGCTGTCAAACACAGTACAAGCACAAAGACGGTAGCAGGTACCCTCTAGACTGAGGTGGATTCAGAATTGGAGAATTTCTAAAGAACTCATCTCCTGGCCCACCCCCAAGCCCAGTAGCAGCAGCCCTGTATGAAGCTGTCCCACAGTGGTAAATGGCAGAAATCTGTTCACAACTGTATGCAGTCCCTCCCCAACATGCACAGGTGCCACCAGCTGGTCCAAGAGTGTCAGCAGAAGTGGCCAGCTGGAGTGCACTAAGCACTGGTACAAAGCACAGTCCCATCTGCTCTGGATGGCACGTCAGGTGGCTCTTCTGTGTCCTGGTGTTTGGATGAGGCTGCCTGCATTTCCACCTGGCCCCTATCTGCATCTTTCCTTCCAGTCTTCACTTAGAACCTGGGCCCCAGTGGGTGCTGGCTGACTGGTCAGGAATGGTGAAGCCAGGGGGAGTTACATGTGCTTCCTAGAGGGCTGGGTTTACGACATCAACAACCTGCCAGAGCCTGGTCCACAAGTGGGCAGTGTCACTCAGTATTACAGGAGGAGATTATGGCAAAGCCAGGGACACAAAAGGACAAATAGTCTATAATTACCCTCACATGAGGTCCCGAGAGTGAGCAAATGTACAGAGACATAAAGTAGCATGGTGCTGGATACAGGTCTTGGGAAGTGGTTAAACAGGGATGCAGTTTCAACACAAGAAGATAACAAACTTCTGAAGCTGTATTAGGGAGATGGGTGCACAGCAACCTGAAATTCACTCAGTACCACTGAATCATACATTTAAATATGCTGAAGATAGTGAACTGGATGTGACTGTGTGTTTACCACATGTTCTGAAAAGTCTACCAAAGACAGTTTATTATTCACTATTGGGGCGACTCCACCTGGTTAATAAATAAAAGCCAAGAATTAATAAACCACTGGGTTACCTATGGGGCCTCTTAAGAAGAGGTCTTGCTTGGGAAAGCTCAGGTCTAATTAAGAAGGGCAGATAGTTTTTGGACAGAGCCAGGCTGGTGAAGAAGCTTCAGTTGTCCAGCTAAGTAAATACTGACTGTCCAACCCTGAAACTCCACTGGAGTCTCTCAAGTCTGTCCTCACATTCTTTCTGGTCATATGGTCCCTGCATCACCTGGCTCAAAAAAGTCTGCATCAGCCTGGGCTCTGTCCCCACCTGCAGGGCAAGCTTGTTTCTGAATGCAGCAAGGATTTTTCAGTTCCGTCCTTCCCATCACTTCTGGTCTAAGCTGCTGCCTGCCATCTTGCATAAAATGCCCCTTACCACCACTCAGAAGTAACATCCTTCTACACCCTTGTCCTAAACAGCACACCTCCCTAGGGTAAACCCAGTTTGCTCCCCTCAGCTAATAGCTGCATGCATTTTTAGCTACAACTACTCGAGGAGAGTTATGCAGGCCAGCCAACAAATTTTCGCTAAAAAAAAATTATAGACTTCAGTCTGGATTTGTTTTAAGCTGGCACATTACATGTACTGTCACTTAAGCACTGTTTAAATGAAATCCACACAAAATCAAACACACTTGTACTGTGTACACATACATTGAAAAGAGGCATAAAAACTACCAACTGCTTAGAAATAGACAAGCGCTGTGAAACAGTCAAATAAACATGTGCCCTGAGGAAAAATAAGCTCCAGTATCCCAGTTCCACTGTGGGAAGGTGGCCAGAAGATGTGCGTGCATGCCACAGCTTATGATTACTGTCCTCAGTGCTGCGAGTCCATGGCTGTTCTGCTGCTCATACACACAGGTGTGACTGCCGTTTCATGGAGCCTCATCCACTGTCCTCAGGAGGACTGCAGCACCTCAACAGAAGTGTTTTCCCCATATCTTTGGACAAATGAGGTAAGGTCTCAAGCAGTCCATGGGCTGCTCACTGAGTCCCACAGGAACTAGGGCTCGGTTGCGACCAAATTGGTGATGAGAATGCTTTCCTCCTTGGCGGGCCAGACACAGGGAATGAGCCCAGGGTGCGCATTCACTGACAGCCTTGGAACTGACCGGTCCCAGCAGTGTCACACTCTGCTATCATTTACTAATAAAGAAAGGGCATGATTTATATTTTGAAACTGAAGAATACATAAAGGTCAGGACAGGATGGCTGTCCTTACTGAAGACACTGGCACCTCCTGACTTGGATCAGTGACACATGGTGGTCAGGTTGTGATGTGGTCCTGCACTTTCAGCAATCTCCAGAGAGCTCCTCCTGACCCTAAAAAGGGTTAAGAATAATGTAAAGTAAAAAAATGAAAACTGCTCCCTGCACATGCACACATCAAAATATCTGTACCAGTCACTCAGTATTATAACTACCATCATTGAAATTTCTTCTTTTCTATTATTTTTAAATCTTTTATTCACTTTTTTGGAACAGAGTCTTGCTACACAGCTTGAACTCCTAGTGGTCCTCTTGTAGTCAATATCTTTGGTATTTTTTTCTCTGCAGTTTGCACTACCCACAGTCAACACAATATAAAACACTATGCAGAACATTCCAGAAATGACCAGTTCATAGTTTTAAGTTGTATGCAATTCCCATAAGTTGTATGCAAAGCAATTTGAAACTGCCCCCTGGGGTGTGAACCATGTATGTCTGTGCCCAGTGTCCCATGGCGCACACACTACTGCCCCTTAGTTACACCATTCTGTTGCTAGCAAGTCAACTACCTTGGTGCCCCAGTGTCTGTATTCAAGCAAGCCTTAGCAGCAACCTTAAGCTGTGTTACAATGCCTCTGCCATTGACCTCAGTTTGAGATGCACTGTATCCCCTCAAACTATCATCATCATCAGGATAAAATAGCACAATAGGATATGCCAAGAAACAAGAAAGAGATCACATGTATCTTTTATTATTGTGAATTCTTATAATTGTCTACTTTATTATTAATGTTGCTTAATTCACAGATTGTATTGTAGGTCTCTATGTATAGAAACAGACAATGAATGTATAGGACATCCAAGATCAGATATCCAATGGGGTTCCTGGAGTACACCCTCTTGGATAAGGGAGGCTATTCTAAGTCTTTATATGGATAAATGCTTCATTTCTACCTGAACTGAGAACCTTCTCAACCTGGCCAGCTGAGAAACTCCAAAGCAAGGTCTATGTTCATTCAGGTTGCTGGACAAGGCTGCATGAGCTGAAGAAAGGTCACAGAACCTTCTGTTCTCTGTCTGATAAGGCAGCCAAATAGCAGACTCCTCATTCTGATTCCTCAGGACTTTCTTATTTGCCTTCTGAAAAAAGAGGACAAATCCTATGCCCTTCATTTTGGTGAATACTCATAGGTGTATCTCATCTCAACCAAGAATGGCAGGTTTCTCCATCAGACCCAGGGGACTTTCACTGAACAAACACACAAAGTGACACAGTATGACTACCAGGAAACAAAGCCCTTTAAGAGCCTTACTGGGTACCAGATCTGTAAGCTTAGTAGTTTTTGTTTGTTTGGTTTGGTTTTTTTTTATGTCAGAAGAAAAAAAAATTCAACATGAAAAAGTTTGTTTGCAGTGCTGCAGATGAAGCCTGGGGCCTGCCAGATGCTGGCAACTGTTGTACCATTGAGCTATACCCCCAGCCCCAGGAAATAAATATAAGTTGTGGCTGGCTAAAATGCAGTGAAACATTGGAAGCATCGTGTCATTCACATCAGAAACACACTTTAAACCAAAAGTTAAGACTAAATACAAGATGGTATCCTTTATGAAATCCTGGAACAGAAAAGGGTATTAGGTAACAACAAAGGAAAGACATGTCCTATGGACATCAATGAAGAGTAACTTATCCACACTGCTAGAGAAACATACCACACTAATGTAATATGTTAGTAAATGGAGAAAGTGGGGCCAAAAGAGACCACTGTGACATTGTCACAACTCCATGCCTTACTCCAACACCTTGTTCCATCTGCTAAACAGTTCACAGCTATGGGAGGACTTTGATGAAGGCTTGTATCTCCAAACACCTGGCATTCTTAATGACACTATCCTTAGAAATGGCCCCACACTTGATCATCAATACTGAATAATTAAAATAAGATCCAGAATCAGTGGAATGACCATGATTTTCATGAGTCACACAACATACTAGCAAATATTTACAAATAAAATACTTGAAAGAATGTCAAGGTTTTTAGCTTAACCCTTCACCAACTGTCATTGGCATGCTGATAGCAGTTCTTAAGGGAAGCAGGAACTGACGGCATACTCCTGGAAGCACCGATCAATGTCCTGTCTATTCAGAGCTGAACCAATTGGTGTCTGCACAATGACTAAAGCAAAAGGGATCTTGTTGGTGGACTATGCTCATTAGCAGTTAGTTTCACACCCACGAGCACAACAGCCACAAGCACAGGCCCTTATCACATATACCTGAATTTTTAATAGACAGACACTGAGTACCAGGGGAGCAAGACTCTTCTGCAAACACCTTTTCCACATGTACCTCTCCTGTAGCGTCTAGAGGACAGGGGCTTACATCTGGAAAGTGGTGAGGGGTATGTCCTGATTCCCAGGATTATTGAATTTATTGTGATTAAAGGCACAATAATCTCACCTTCATCAATAGCAGAGACACTATTAAGCAAGAATTTACTAATGAAGTCCATCCTATGCCTTTGGACTTGAGTCCATGGTGCTATGCAGTTTTTAATTTGTGCTTCTTCTAACCACATTTTGTTATTCAGACTTTTCATCCAATAATC